GCTCAAGGGAGAAGGGGATGTGGGATGTTACGTAAGGCTGTACTACGGCCTGCTCGCCACCCATCAGCGCATCCATCTGCCAACACATCAATTCAACATCAGCGCCCGCAGCACCCTCGTCGTCGTGTGCGACGCGGATCGGGCTTTGCTTTCTTCCTCGTACCACCACCACGCCTACTTACCCTATACTCGACTCTTGCAATAGATGCACTTGCTATGATCATGAGCGAGGCATTTGTCATCGGCATGGTCGATGCTAATGACGAGTCCGACTTGCCCGACTTCATCGTCGCTTGCGCATCACAGTGCCTACAACCATTTCGCAACGTAGCTATCGCACCATCTCAACACCGCCGCCTCGACCTCCCTCGATTGTCTGTGGCGGCGGCCATTCGGGGAACGGAATCCTGGCGCCTGCGCTATTATATCGTTATCCATAACCTCCTTCTTGTGAATTGGCAGTCTGTCACGCTGTTGCCTGTCGTGCTTTCGGGGTGAACGTTCCACCTGCACAAGCGTACTCACCATGATATCCATTTACATGCTGGAATTTGTGCTTTATCAGGCGCACCTTGAACCAACCCCGTGAGACGCGTGGATATCAAAGGCTGCAGCTGGTTGGGACCGAACGAAACCGGCGAACCGTATACTGGCGGAGGCGCTCTGTTTCTGTGAAACTGTATTCTTGCATTGCATCGAAGGCCTAAGGCCTTAATGTCCGATCTACAAGCAATCCAATTAGGATACCGGATGCCTCTGCGGGATTTGGGACGTGGGCGCCTGTTTTCTAGCAGCCTATTCTGGTCCTGTTCCACGTGACAGCTTCTCTTATTCACTCTGCGTACGCAACTTATATTTTCCTCCCTTCTGTCCACTCCTCGAAAGCTCATGTGTGAGACGATTGAACTGGGTGCACGCGACGTGGTGACTGTCTAGCCCTGCCCACCTTGCAAGTGGCCACGAGCGGACCTCGTCCCCCGATTCCTCGACGAGTGGCTCAGTTTCTCGTGCCGTACTCTGCTGCTGGTCACGGAGGTGAGTCTCGCGCTTCATAGATCATAAGGCCTCCCCTTGCTCTTGACCGAGGTTATTGCGTCGAGGTGTTTGGATCTTAAATAATTTGGCACCCGAAAGCAGACGTTGCAACCCGACTGATGGTATCAGCGGGCTTTCGGCAATCACCTGTCGTTTCCCGAGTCGATCTCCAAAAGGGGTTAGCTAACTTAGATAATCCGCTAGGATGATTCAGCCGACCCGACAGTTTGGCGATGTTCCATGATTCTACGTTCCTTCTCAGAGGTCACACGCTTAGGCGCGCGGGCAAGGGATGGTCGATAAAGACCCATAGCACTTGCAACCTCCCATACCTTGTGCTGTCATTAGCTCTACAGAGTAGACCCACCAAAGCGCTTCGCATCGTATTCATTGTCACCCGACTCTGTCCAGCAAATTAATACCCAGTGGTCACAGAAACCCAAATGACTACCAGTATCACTGGTGCTCATAGTCCCCGGCGAGTGGCTGGGCTCCCAGAAATTTATTCGGTCATTGGTCGTAACGGTGAGCATTACGCTATACATTGTCAGCAACAGGTTTTCATCGTAACGGTTATTTAACCAGCTCAAGGCTATGTACACCAACCACTTGATCTTTTATCCACAACATCGAGTTCAGCGTCGAAGCCTACCCCGCACGAACATACCACTACACTCGTACGTCTCATACAAACTTGTCCTATGGTCACCATGTTCTAACCATCAAATAGGCACTTTACTCCGGATCCTTGTGCGCCGCTACCCTTGCGGCAGCCTTAACTCTGGGCGGGAGTCCGCCAATCGCGTACATAATGGTCGGGGCCACAGTGTGCGGAGCCGTGGGAAGTTTGCTCGCCGCCGCGGCTATATTCTGCGGGCACGATCGCGGAGGCAGACAGTTCGCCATCTTATCGTTGGTCTGCGTGGTGCTCGGAATGGCACTTCTCGTCGCTGGCCTTGGGGATAAGGTAGCTACCACTATGATATTGCTGAGCGAAGTCTTGATCGTAGGCGCCGTTGCGCGCTTAACGCGTTGATCGTCGGTCGACCGCCTTGGTCCATGTAGGCGCGTGTTTGAGGGTCTGTTCGGCAACTCGATCTTCCGTCATGATTTTCGATTTTACGGAAACGAAATCATGTGAATCCATTTGGCATGCCCGTCACCGTCAAGCCCTACGCTAGGGTTAGAGCTTCCGCGTCGTTCGGGAAGGATTGCGAGCACGCCACACACTAGCACGCGCTGACGAAAGCCCGTCATGACGGACGGTGCTGCGGTTTGCCGAACAGCGAACTTACTCGAAAATCCGTGACGCAAACGGATTGCCTTCTAAGGCAACTTGATTTTCCGTCATGACGGAAGATCGAGTTGCCGAACAGACCCTGAAGTACATATGGACCCACACGGACACTGTTCTTGCTTTCTGAACGGATTGATATTATACCTGTAGACTGGATGTCGCCTGTATTTGAGCTGTATTTGAGCTGTATTTGAGCTGTCGAGATCGCGTTCTGGACCTTCTGTCTTCCCAGAGAGTTTTAGAGAGTGGAAAAACTGACGATGCAACGGTAGTGGTGGTGGTTGGGCTCCAAGACGCGGCTGGCCGACTACGCGTGCGCGCGCCGTCACTTGTCCATGACCACCACGATCCATCGGCTCACGTATACTCGGCATCCACAGCCTGACCAGTTGTGTCTTCCGTGAGGCTGCTCAACAATCTTGAGCAGCGTCTCAACTTGGTATAACGACGAGCTCAAGACCCCGGTCGTATCGGCCCGAGGGCCGGTACAGAGCCTTTCTCAGTTTCTCTGTTGCCCGACGCATCTCAGCATGTGGCAAAGGAGATCATCTTGTGAAGATATGGCCCGCTGAACATTATTCCCTCAGAGCAAAATCTAATCCGTGAATCTCCCCACCGAGCCGCCATTCTCGTGAACCCCTCCGCTCTCCGAGTTTGCACGCCCGAGTATGCTCGACTTTCGGGAAGGCTCGAATTCACCCGTTGGTGGTGGTGCAGTCCGGACAAGGCTCTGCCGCACGTCCGTCAGTCCATAGCGTCATCCGTCAGGCAAAGGGGTGACGTACCGCGATCCTCTAGAAGCACAGGCGTTGCCTGTACGGCGAAGAACGCGACGGCGAAAGTGAAGAGAGTGAAGACGTGCATCGGTGTAGTGGGGTTTGAAGGGATGGACCTCGGGAAGGAGCCTTATGTACTTCAACAAGGACGCTCATCGCCTTGCAGGCTACGGAAGTAGTCGGTTATGTGGCGTGGGGAAAATCGTACTGTATATTGGAGAAACTCCTTATACTCCGGGGAACACCCGCCTATCCTATACTACGACTCTCAGCCATACACTCGAGGGCTGATCCACAATGTCTGACAATGTAAGAGGCTGTAAGTAGCCCTTCTCGTTGACGAAGACGCCTGTGCGCTGGTGGATTCCATCAAGCGCTTGAGCACCCAGGTCCGCGCGACGCGGCTTTGCTCTCCGCCATCATCATCTGGCGCGGTGTATGAGTGTGTCGGCTTATGCCGCTAGTCCTCAAGAGGCTATTGGGGTTGATGTAGAATCCTTGGTATCTGTCATATTCCCTAGGTATAGATAGCCCACGTCCGCTCCACACAAATCGCATACTGCTACACAAAGTTCCTGAACCAAACCGCCTGCCCAGCACAATCATCCCTCAGCCTCGTTGTTCATCTCATCGAAGCAGATGCACATCGCCGCCATGAGCGCGAAGTCCACGCCTGGCGCGACGCTGACCCCGTACGTCTGCTGGTCGAACAAGAACGTGCTAAGACTCTTGAACGCGGACTTGCGCTGGATCACAGCGACCGGCACTCCGCGCGTCTCGTCCATGATCTCGGCCGACGAGTCGCGCCAGTTGCCCTTCATCGAGAGCGTCTCGGGCGTTCCGTTAGCCGATGTGAATGTGGCTGTGGCCTTGGAGCCGACAACTGGGTGGTCGATCAGTCAGCCATGTAGTGATCACTACAACGCGCAAAGAAGAAGACTCACGCGCGAAGCCGCTCTTCACCTCAAAGAACTTGTCCCCGTTCGGGTTCACCGCCTTATAGTATGTGTGTACGAGGTGGAAGTGTTCCTTCTTCAAGTCGAAGAGGTGGGTGCCCTTCATATCGTAGAAGGACTTCCGGCTCGTGATCGCGCTCGGGTCGACCTTGAATATGGGGTACGGCTCCTGCCCGTTCTGCGGGTCGATCTTGATGTCGAAGGCGTCGCCCGTGAGAGACCAGACCTTCTCCTTCAGGATGAGCCTGACAGTCTGATGCGGGTTGATGAACGGCGTGCATCCGATAGGTGGGTTGATGGGTGCTAGCTGTGCCATAATCGGATTGAATGTGAAGTTGTTCGAGACGAAGAAGCGTGCGTCAGAGTCGGAGGGGGAAAGTGCCGGACGCAACTCAGCGAGAGACTGTTCTTATATACCGATCGACGGGTCAAATAAGGGACCACCCTGGAAGCTTGAAGATCATTGCCTTCGTGCCGGGCTATACGGGCTGCTTTCAGAGACTAAAGGATCACTGGCGCGGGGCCGTGCTCGTCTTTCGCCAATGCTGTGCTGAAGGCGGTTGCTTCGGCATTTGCCGGACATCTCGATATGCAATGTTTACGCCCGTACTGTACACCGTGCTATTATCGCAGATAGATGTGCAAGCGTTTGAGTAGTGGCAGAAGACTCAGGATGTCTGTACCAGGTCGATCGGAGGCCTTGCACGGGGAGAATCATGTTTGCTGCACGGCTCATTTCACCGCTTGAAGCGACTCGGCGGAAATGCGAAGGAACTCTCAATATCTCGGTCATCACACAGCATTACAGCACCTCTACGATGGCACGAAGCAGAAGCATTCATCTCTTGCGATAAGCGAATGGAGAATTGATGATACAGTAGCCAGCGGTAGGTCTCCCGAGCACGAGAGGGCGGGAAGGCATGGCGCTCATGAACGCCGGACTACACGACCATGTGGCATCCGACTTGCTACTGGCATAGCAGCACAGATGGAAGAAGGGCAAGCCCCAATATCTGGGTGTATCGCGTTGATACGCTTCACATTGCGATCATACCTACGTCGAATTCCTTGGTGTAAGATCCGTTTCCGATTAGATTGCAGACTCCATACATATATCTATTCATCGTCGGAGCCAGAGCCAGAGCCCGACCCGGGCTCGCCATCATCGTCTATGCCAAACGTCAGTAAATGATGCTCGAGTAGTCAACGGTCGAAGCGTACGCTCACCATCGTCAGCAATATCATCCTTAGAGATTGACGCCTGTGCTTGCGCCTTGCGGAATAATCCGCGCGTCTCGGTGTCATCGTGAGGAACGTAATAAAGAGCGAGTTGGCCGTGCTTGTCCTTGATCCTGTGTAGGTAGCGATCGTTAGCCGGAGGTGACGATGATAAGACTGAGCGGCGTACGTGGTATCAGCGCCGGCCTCTAAGAGCTCCTCTACAACAAACTTCCGCATCTCCTGCTCCTCGATCTGCGCGGCGAGGTGTAGTGGTGTTTGTTTGTCAAGCCGATTGAGCGGGTCTACATCGCACTCTTCGTGCGACAGGATATGTTCAAGAACGTCCGTGTTACCGAGCTTTGCGCTGGCGATGCGGAGGCGTTAGATCAAGGTTAACTCGGACGTATGATGTCCGTCACATACGCGTAGTGCAGTGCTGTACCGGAGCGCTTAGCACGCGCTTGAATGTTAGACAGCTGACAGGACTCACACACCTGTGTTGCCAAGACTGAGACGTATAAGTAAGCAATTTGTAATGCCACGTATTTGGGGCGTACCTGTCTTGGTGGTTGATGTCGAAGCCCCCAGCATCGAAGATCTCGAGCAGAAGATCCTCGTTATCCTCGCGCGCGGCCGCAATCAAGCGCTCGTCTATGATGTGACATCCTCAGCAACAGTCCAGAAGGTCAGCCTCCAGAGCGTACTATTAGAGGCGCCGGAGGATTCAGCTTCGTCGGCCATATTGAGGAGGAGATGGGAGGGAGAAGGAGAGCAGTGTCGTGATCCTCGTGGGCGCTGTGGCCGTGATGGAGTCCGACGGCAACGTTGATCCCAACTTCGGCATCACGCGACGAGATGGCGGCTCAGCAACTTCTTCCCCGACCCCCATGTTCACTTATGAAGTATATGCTACGCTACCTTGAGCGGGTACTCCATGTCCAAGACTATGCCTTATGGAAGTTGACAGTGCGCAGTGCTGACATGGTTGCGTTGCGTGTTCCGGATTCAGCTCTATATTCCTTCCTGTCTTTCTCCGAGTCGTCGACGTCGGTTGCCTTTGATGTTCTTTCATTCGCTGGCAGTTCACTCGATCGACAAAACCCTTTTCGCTCACGACATGAATCAGATACAGTAAAAGTGATCACGATTAGCTGCCTATACACAATCTGGAGCGTCCGACAGCGAAAGGGCGGTGAGTAAGTACAGAAAGTCCAAAGAGACACAGAATATGCGCGGGCGCTTAGAGGATCGGGATACCGACGGGCGAGCAGCCGAGAGCGACAACACCGTTCTGAGACGCTTGTCAACGATATGCAGCTACCAGATGAGAGCAATAGACGTACGAAGGTGTTGTTCTCGCAGCACACGGTCTGTTGCTGGCAGGTGTTGCCCCCAAGGCCTATATCGGACATCAATGATCGGTCATAACCCTACGCAAACCTAGTCGCAAACATACCGATGACGTTGATGGGCGTGCAAGTGATACCGATGGGAACGTTGAGGCCCGAGAGGTCGATGGGGATGAGGCTGAGAAGGCCGCTGGGAAGATCAAGGTTCTTCGAACCCGCCTACATGAGCTCGTCAGCATCCGCTAGTGACGACGAGTAAAGAGAGCGTTACGTACGGGCTGAACCTGGTTGCAGCACTGGAGAGCACCAGAGTTGCACGACGACGAACCACCCGAGGGGGCAGCGACGACGGCGGCAGCGAGAGCGAGGACGGTGAAGACGCGAGCGAACATTGTGTCAGGTAGGTGAGTTGGGTATAGAAGGAAGGTGAAGACGCAAAAGAGTGAGCGCGGGGTAAACAGCGAACTGCTGAGGAAAGCTGATTTCACGAGTCGTCGTTCTTATACGCTACCCAGCTGGGTCAGATGGACAGTCTGGAATCGAAGGCCGAATCCGCTGCCAACGTCGAGTTGACCATCGCGCTCAAAGAACAGCACCCGCGACGTTTGCACGACGTAGCTCGGCACGTCAGACTAGCCAGGAGGTTCACATTCAAGTGGGTGCAGCTAAACTTCATGGCGCAAGAAAGCGAAGCACTGTTTCTTACACAGTAAACAGTCTTTGTGTATCTGTATCGTAGTTTGAGTGTTCATCTAGCAGAGTAAGTAGTATACACAGACGGTGGACGAGTACCCCGAAGACATGCTCCTGTAGGTACGCGAAAAGTACTCACCTTCCTTTGGCGTATCATCCGACCGAAAACATGACGGGCATCGAGGACGGAGCCGAAGCTAGCATCTTCATCGGGCAAGTCGACCTCTGCATCGAAACTGAACGACGTCGAGCGGCTGAAGACATCGAGCCAAACATCGGACTGCGCGTACAAACAGGGCGCGTTTCATGAAGACACAATAGTACGCATTGCTGTCGTCCGGGACGTAGAAGCGCCTGTTGCTGACAGGAAAGCGAACATGGCGGTTGTGCGCAAACCTGATTCGAACACGGCGTCCGATATGATCGACTTCCCACCTCGGAGATGTAAAGCGATCCGAATACATAGCTGTCACGGAGTTAGCGCACACTGATCGGCCGAAACCTGCTCCAAGAAGTTACGTGTTACAACAGCTAGTAATGTACATGATTGTGAGTAGCCTACTCATTCTCCACTATATCCGATGTCTTGCATCACGCCTTGACCCATTCCGAGTCGCTCTCTTCAGTCTTGCCATCCCAACCTTTCTCGCGAACCGGCTCGTCGTATACCGCGATCTCATTGATATGCGCCGTATCATGCACGACCGCAAACTCAAAGCGGATCTTAGTGGCCACGATACGGGCATCAAGCCAATGATCCTGCGTATCACGCTCAGGCCGCGCGCCATCAACGAGCGTCAGCCAGACACCGTCCTCCTTATGACCGCCTTTCTCGCCGTGGCCGTCTCCGTGCGCTTTCGGAACGAAGGCGACGAAGCGGTACGCACCAACCCGGCTCACCGGGTAGTCCGCGTAACGACGTACAGGCTCAGCGAAGAGTACGCGATTGAACGCCGTCGGGCGCGGGAACTTCACTTCGAGCCAACCCTCCTTATCGCCGGATGGAGTATACCACGTCGAATGGACCTCTCCGTTATTCGCGAGATCCGGTCCTCCAGCTGACATGATCGTATTCAGCAACGCTCGTTCGCCGCAGAAGATGAGACTCATGATACGCACTGTCATCATGACCACTGCAGCGGATGTGGCATCCCTGTGCGAGGTTATTCGTAGTAACGGGTGCCATGTACCCCTCCAGAAGCGGAGCCGGGCCAGGATGGTGCCATGCACGCCCAATCTCTGCCAGTCTCTCGATGAGGTTAGGCGCAAGGCGACCATCACGCGCGGGTGCAGCATTGACAATGAGGGTACAGTGCCGCGCGTTCTGTGGGAGCAGCCAGTCGTGTACAACTTGGTAAGTGCTCTTCGGCTCGGCGTAGTAGTCGCGCGTCTTGAAGAACCAGCCGTCGGTGAGGGTGACGCATGAGAATGCGGGCAAATACGATTCCGAGGGTAGGATCTGGCCGGCGTTCTGCTCGAAAGCTTTGATATCGCCGTAAAAGAGACCGGCAGGGGGATAGTGCGACGCGTTCAGGTCCGTGACGAGACAATCTGGCTGGAGGGACTTCACATGGCGATATATCCTGTGAGATAATCAGTGCGGAATAACTTGATTGGAGCGTGAGGACTGACTCATCGAAGGGGAACTCGGTGTACGGGATGCGACTCCAGGGCGCGCACCAACCGTCGAAGATGATCATGTTGATATCGCCGTAGTTTGTGAGAAGCTCCGTGAGGTGGTCCTTGACGAGCTGGATCTTCTCAGGGGTAACGTTGAAGTGCCGAATATCGTTGCGTTTACTGCTCATATATTAGGAACAGCGAATGGACAAGCACGCCTGAGACATACTCGAGGATGGAATAGTAAAGGCCGACCTTGAGTCCGTGCTTGCGGAACGATGCTGCATATTCCCCTACGACATCCCTCTTGCAAGGTGTATCCCGCAGACTGGGTGTACCCGTATTGGTGTTCCAGATGCAGAACCCGTCGTGATGCTCCAGGTCATCATCAGCTTCAGTCATACCTTACCAGGCTTTCTCAACAGTGTGAACTCACCTTTGTCGTCAAGAACGCGCCCTTCATGCCCGCACTCAACGCGGCTCTGGCCCATTGGTCTGTGTCGAGGTGCGTAGGATTGAAGATGTCGACTGGTCCGCGATCCGAGCCCCACTCCAGGTCTTGGTACGTTGCCATGTTATAGTGAATGAACATCGTAAGGCGCATGTCGAGGAACGCCTGCTGCAGTTCATGCAATGGCGTGCGCGACGCGTAAGGCTTCGGCGCAGGAGTATGCTCCGACTTGACGAGAGCATCAGATGCGGGCGCTTCAGAATTAGCCATGGTGGACATGGGCGTCTGAGGCGAGGCGGAGAGTAGCTGGCCCATGAATTGTTCTGAGAAGCTAAAGCGAGGTTCTATATAGAATATGCCGATAGACCGAGCGTCTAGTAAGCAAGAAGAGGCAAGATGCGTGTATATCCTCTGAAGCAGCAGCAATCCGGATGTTCAGACTGGTGGTCGTTGTGATGGTTGACGACAAGCGGCTCAGCAACGAGCACAACGAGTGCCCCTAACTGTGGGGCGCCGGTCCGAGAACCCGCACCGGTGATCCGGATTTATTGGTAGCGAGACGAACCATTGTTGGTTTTCACCACCACCCTCATCTTGAAGAGGAATCCAGTCGACGTTGACCCATGCATGACAAACATCATCTTGTACGATCGCGACTGAATGATAGACATACCGAGGCCGGACTCTCAGCCTCTAGGCTTCAATAGCGCCCATGCATGTTGCAGTCAGGGTTCTATAAAGGTTCTTATTCATTGGCGCTATTTGCCTGCCTTGGACCGCCTATCGCAAGATACGGAGTCCAAGGTCTGAATTACTGATTATCCGCCACATCAATTCTAGTTCCTGACACCCTCGCCCGTGGAATGGAGTCCAGTCTCAGCTTGATATGCATAACGCAGTTGACAGCAGTTGGACGGAAGCCTCCGGACGACGCACTTGCTTCTCACTTTCGCCTTCTGCAATGAGTGTACCTCTGGCTCGGGAGACCCACGACGAGCTCAAGAAGCCGCGCCAAGGTGGTGCGCGTGAACTCATGAGCAAGATACAAGCCTGCGAGCCGTGCCGTACTGGCGGGTACAAGTGCAATAGGCGCGTGTTCTCTTGATTTACTTGATGATCGCATGCTAACGCATTTCCATAGACGACGGCCGTGTAGCTCCTGTGTGCTACAGGGAAAGAAAGCCGACTGTTACGCGGGTCTGCCATCGATTGCTCCACCGACTATCTCGTCTTCCTCCGGCATCTCCCTGACACCTGTTGAACCGCCTTACGCGAGCGATGCCCCGAAGTCAGCTCTGTCAGCGGAGGTAGACCCCGAATACATAGCCGAGTCTACGAACGGACGTGTGCTGGGCAAGCCGTTTGGGAGATCGGGCGCTGAGGGCGAAGGACTGTATGCAGGCGCTACGTCCTTTCTCGCCCAGCTGAAGTTCGGAATGGATGCGGTAAGCTCTTGCTATCTTACCGTGACTGAAGCGGCCCATTGACGAACATGACCTAGCCCAACACCCTGATCCCGGCTCAAGTGCAACAGCCATCAGACTACGATGCTGCGCGGGATCAACGCTTAGAGGCTGCCCTTCCCAAAAGAGATATCATGGACGGTCTCATTGGTACGTACTCAGGTTTCTGAACCCTTGCCACCGTCCTGATGTTTCAGTCAGACTTCTACTTCGAGCGCTGCACCTGGATCTTCAAACATGTAGACCGCGTCTCTTTCGTTTCTCGTTGGGAGAGCTACAAAGGCGGTACCGTCACAGATCATATGGTGCTCGCGGGCGCTGCCATTATCTGTTGCATTGCCATTTACTACCTTCCTCCTACGCACCCTCTCGCGCTACAGCCCAAACTACACGACCCCGAACAGCCGCTGCCTGGCGACGTTCACGATAACTCAGTGAGAATCGAGTGTGCAGATGCTCTTGCGATGGGATGGTATAAGGCATTCTTCGAGGCGCGGGAGCCGAGAGAAAGGCGTCGTCGCATAAGTACGCTAGACGAGGTCGAAGTTCATCTCGCTAGGTACGACGCGTTCTCTACTTTGTCCGTCAGGCACTAATGTGACGCCTAGGACCCACTTCCTCGCAATGAGCAAGATCGACACAGAGGAAATGTGGGCTTTGAGGGGCACTCTTGTATCGGCCGCCCTTGCGATGGGTCTACACCGCGATCCTGGTGAAGGCGTGCCGCTTGCCGTAGCTGAGCGCCGACGGTAAGACTCTACCCGCTTTGATCCGAGGTTTTGCTTATACCTTCCTTCCTAGATGGCTTTGGTGGCATATCGTTCTCCTTGAACGATGGCAAGCCTTCATGCACGGACGTCCACTCGCATACTCACCTGACCACTACGATACCGCGTTCCCTCAACATCTCTCTGACAACGCGATGCTCAAGCGCATCTATGCGCACGGGCTCCCAGTTGATGTCCGATCCGTCACGGACGACATCGGCAAACGTACATACGAAACATTCATCGCCCAATTCAGATTATGCAAGGCTCTAGGCAAGATCACCCGCGACGCGCTCAGCCAGAGTGCGGTTCCGTACTCGAAGCTGCGAGCGCACGACGCAGAACTAGAGAGCTTGCTGGATAGTCCTCCTGCACAGTCGCTGCCACTCTGGCAGATTGCGAACTGTCTCAAAAGCACCGTAATGGGACTATGCAGGCAAGGCGTCCAGACTCTGGTCTTACGGATGGCCATTCTTCATGTCAGGTATGCACGCCGATGTTCAGATAGCCATTGACTTCATCTAATTACGTCTAGGTTCACGCTGCATCGGCCATATGCCAGCGGAAGACCGAAGAGGGCCACTGTTGTATCGTTCGCTGTTCCCGAGAACAGCAACTCTGGCGATAGGTCTGAAGTAGAGGAGGACGCGGAACAGCATGCGACCTCGCTCGCGCGGGCGATCGCCGCATCGAGGGACGTTATCGAGTTGGGCTCAGTCGCCACCGGTTCTGTGAGTCTTACGTAACCAATCTTCTTACCATGCCGCTGATATGTTGGCGTATAGATTGCTCTTCGCGCGGAGTGGTCCCTATATGCTCATCTTAGCTGGATGCCAATCCAAGTTTACAGCGCCGCCCTCTTTCTGGTCTTCGCCGTCGCCATGTCCTCTCCTCTCGATCCGGCGGGGAGTGTTTCTCCTATCGATCACAGAGGATCCTTCGCGGATCCACCTAATGCTGCGCGCCAATCTACACAAACATCCGCATCCGCCATTCCAGGGCTCTCAGTTCCCGCACGACAACAAGTTCCATCGCCGCAAATCATCTCCGCCACGTCTTCGCAATCCTCAAACTCTACGCGACCGTATGCACCGCTCGATGCTGAGAAGCTTCTGCCCGTGATCCATCGCGCAATCGCTGCACTCAGAAGCATGTCCTTTCACATTAGCGCTGCGAAAGCCGTTGAGCAACTCGAGCACCTTGGACCTCTGTACAGCCCTGCGTATCTCCGATCATCTGATGCAGAGCGTTTCGAGATGAAGATGAGCATCTTTCGGCGCAGTGGCTTAGTCTCGACTACACAACGCGACGGCGGTACTATGGGCGTGCTCGGTGGTGAGCCAGATAGCGTAGACCAAACACCTGCGTCGCAGGCCACGTCCGGAGACACGCCCTCTCACTACGAGCCGGTCACACCTTCGTCGGATGGAACGTATGAACAAGAGACGCCGCGGGAGGTCGACATGGAATCGCATGCTTCGTCGCCGCAACTCGAGGCGATGGACGTAGAGCCGCTCTTCCTTCCCTCTCCTCAGTCAAGCGAAACGGCCTCGATGCATTCTCTATTCAGTGCCGGCCAGGACGCTGGTACACCAACCCCTCTGGATCTTGTACAAGCCTTGATCCCCGCCGCTGTCACCGATGACGAAACCATTCATATCTCGCAACCTGGCCACCAAGGATCGACCAGCAGCGCTTCTCAAGCTGCTGGATCGAGCGTTGGATCTGGCACGCTTCCTCCTGTTAACAACGACCTCGCGGACGTTCCAGAGCAGGTTAGCGAATCTAGCAGGGTCATGTACGGCCCTGGTATAGTTCGCCGCTGCTGGAATTGTCACGCGACGAACGAGAAGACTTGGCGTACCTCGCAGTTCGATGCCACAAAGACGGTGTGCAATGCATGCGGCCTGCACGAGCGCAAGTTCGGCGTCTCTCGCGGCTGGCCTGCGGATCCGTCTGCGTCCTCATCTCAGTCCGGGGCCGTATCGCATTCCCAAAACCTTGTATCTGCGTCCTCGTCTACATCCTGCCGGACCACGCGTCATCCTGCAGGCATGCGGCCAGTTAACTGGAAGAAGGACTATTCGAACGAGTTCACGCACGGTGTGCCCGCCCCTACGCCTCCGGTCTTCGAACAGCCGGAAACCTCGCCAGCTGCGACGAATAGCGGCTCGCAGGCTGAATCACAAGACCCAGTTTCGTACTACACGCGACCTCCTGGCATTCCGTACGACCCAACGGACTGGAGGTCGGCGTCGCGCATTCCTGCCTTCTCCGCTTACCCAGAACCCGCTCCGTCATCAATGCCGCCGCCGAACCCCGCTTCATCTCAAACGCAGACGTCTTCAAACCCTCGACCGCTAGAGAGAAGCTACTCTGAGATGCTCGCTGCGAGCTCTGACTGGTCTAAGCAACACGCTGAGTGGTATCGGCCGGTCGAGCCCCAGATCGAGCCGATCATATCCCCACAGGCCGCCAACCCGAACGTGACCGCAGAGGCGTCAAACCCGGACGCTATGCAGGTAGAGGGTAGAAGCATGCCTCAGGTACCTCCCGCGGACTTCGGACAGGCTGTAGGCTCGAGCCAGATCCCACTTCAACCGGGATTCTCTTCGATCACGGTCCCACCTCCTGGAGAGCATGACCCACTTCTCGGGGATTGGTTGAAGGACTTCACGATCGACGAGTCGTGGGCTCTCATGCAGTCAGTCGGCCTTGATCTTGATGTAGACATGCTGGCCACGGGCGGATTATCGTTTGAGGACGGTGCAGGACCATCTCAGGCCGGAGGGTGGATGTAACGTGCGAGGACAGCGGCGTTCTGAGTCTTCTTTTACTAGTATAAAACACATTCTGTCCACGCGTCTCGATCGTTATGAACTTCCATTCCAGCAACATCGTCCGATATCTTGCGTCTACGTACTACATACACTAGCTCCTACCCTTATACAGGCACTAATACCCACGGCATCCAATCGCCCACATCCCGCATAGATACATCTCCCCGTATTCGATCTCCCCATCCACAACCGTAGCCCGCACCTTCGCCTGCAGGATCTCCTCCACGGGCACTTGCATAATGTCACGATCCCACATCACCCAATCAGCTTTCAGTCCGACCCGAATGGCACCGTGTACGTCTTCTGCGAAGGAAGCGTACGCGGCCGAGGTCGTCATGCCCGCGAGCGCCTCTGCGCGCGAGAGCTTTTGTTCGGGGTACCACCCGCCAATCCCGTGCGGCGAGTTCCCCTCTGTGTCAAGCCGCGATACCGCGGCGTAGAAGCCCAGCAGAGGGTTGATGCCCTCCACTGGGAAGTCGCTTCCCAACGGCATGATCGAGCGTCGAGAGTTGCTACAATCCAGTCAGCTAATCATGCACTGAAGCCGTTAGAGACCGCAGCTGCCAACATGCCTCAACAACGTCTTGTACGCGTATGCACCCTTGATCCTGTCGGGACCCTGAAGGAGTCAGCTAGAGTTGTAAGGACAGAGAACCCGATGAACGTACTAGACGCGACTCCGCATACCCCATGTCGCTCGTCGCATGCGTAGGCTGTACACTCGGTATCACACCCAGCCTTCCGATACGTTCGAGGTCCGCAGGGGTCATAATCTGAGCATGCTCGATGCGTGGTCTCCACTCTTCTGCCCTCATGCTTCTCTCCGTCAGTACACGCACTCACACTCTGTCAAGAAGCGTAAACGTACCCTTTCTTCGTCAACACATCCTCGTAGACGTCCAGCACCACTTGATTCGCACGATCTCCGATGGCGTGCGTGTTGACCTGCCATCCTCTCTCCGCTAGCGCCTCTATCTGACTTCTAAGAACCTCGGGATTAGTTCTCATCAGCCCTGATGTGGTCGAGTCATCGCTGTAGGGTTCTAGCAATGCCGCGCCGAAGCTTCCGAGTGCACCGTCTGCGAAAAGCTTGATGCCGCGGAGAGTCAAGTGAGATTGAGGGCCGTATCCGTGCAATCGCGGGAGGTGCGGCCATTCGGAGGGAGACGACGTGTTCGTCGGTGAAGTGAGGGACGTCGGTATGGGTTCTGATGGAAGCGTGCCCATCAGGTACATCCTCAGCTGCAGAAGTCTTCATGAGACTAGACATTACGAAAGAAAGTTAATGCTAACAGGAAGCTTGCCCTCGTCTGCGAGTCTATTGGATGACATCAGTCCGGATTCATCATCCGCGAGGAGGGACGAACGGACGTACCCTTTGTAAAAGCCAACATCGGCGGCATCGGCAAACGCATCGTGAATGCCAACCAGACCCACGCTCAATGCGTCGCGTGCTGCGAGCTCGAACCACGCCCGTTTCTCTTCCGGGCTGGGAGGTGGTAGCGGAAGCAGTGCCTCAGCAGTATCTACGAACACACCTGTACACAGAAAAGTATCAGTAGTGACCAACAAGGCATAGGCTAGTAGTACCGGAAAGAGCTCCATCAGGTCCACGCATGACCTTCCCGCCGTTCTTTTCGATCTCCTCGTCTGAGAGCGGTAGTGGATTAGGCAGCATGTCGAGTACCGCTTGAGAAACCCAAGTTGCATGTACGTCGACGCGTACAAGAGCAATGCGCCGACCGGCGAGAAGCGGTGAAGATTCCAGGTCTGCCTACGAATGACGTTCAGCCGGTGACCTTCCGTTGAGAGGGAGGGCTCACAGCTGTCGGCCAACGGCCTTCCTCGAACCGCGTTTGATCCCAACCCAGGCCGCGGATCCAGCGAGAGCGATCTGCCTCAACCTCGGGGTGAGAGCGCACATAAGCTTCAATCTTCTGTATGATCTCTAGCTTCGTTACAAGGTGCTCCCGCGTGTGAAGGTGCTGTTCAAGCACCTTTGATTGACCGACTACCGGCTAAGGGCAGCTGCTCTTTGAAGCCCCATTGCAGGGTGTGTGCGTGTGCATCTGACAGCTTGTTCATATTCGATCCTCAATTGCTCTGTCTTGTAGCTTACCAGTCAGGCCGGGTGTGATGATTGCGCCTCTGGGTGTGTAGAATGTTTTCAAGTCCTCATTCGGGCGGTTCTCTCGCCACAAGTTTCGTATACGGTCTATATAAAAGGCACTCAGGTACGGTATACACCCTGCAGCGACGGATGCTGACCAGCACTTCCAACAGCAGCAAACGCTCCATCTGAGACGAGGAAGCATTCTGCAGTCGGCATCGTGGGATCTGATGTGTAAATGGTACCGGCGGGATAGTCGGCTATAGGCACATTGATCTCATAGCGAGCCAGCAAAGCAGTCAACCAAGTGGAAGGTCTTTGAGCGCAGACAGCATACTCTGGAAGAGCATCCGACCCTTCAAAGAGTGGATCTAGATTCAGTGGCCACGGTTTGGGTAACCAGGTCAGATCGATACACGTAGCAAGCGCCTGCCGAAGCGTCGGCTGGTCAAATACAGCATTCAGCTGATCGATGTACAGTCCAATCACGAATAGCGCGCCACCCAGCAGCACAGCGAAAGGAACGCCGAATGGCATGAGTATCCCGGCACTCTAGAAGACCGAGGTGGTGGTTCGGGATTGAGAGCAGGCTTTGATGTGCAGGCGCCCGCCGCGTGCTCGCGAACGTTTGTCGGCCCGCCGTTGCGAGCTGCGGTCCATCTTATCTCCAGAGTTATCTGCGGCGGGCGCGACAATTGATTCCTGTGGAGTTTCAAATCTTTTCGTCATCGCGACGACCCGCTGCTTTCGTCCGGATCCGGGATCTGAACCCTTTGCTGGCTACACTTTCCGGAATCGAACGTTGAACCCGAACAATGACCATGAGCGCCGACCAACCTCACGCAGAATCCCACCATCCCAAAAAGACGCTACACAGCAAGCGCTCGTTTGGTAAATACCCGGTAGTTGATTCACCTGCCTACGATGCGTCTGTACAATTTCCCCTTAGCCTCTTTGCTGAGCCCCTATTGATACATAACTCTCATAGGTCTGAAGAGGATAACGATCCGTTGACCGACGATGGTGCTTCGGCGCTCTCCGTCCCCGCGATCTCCCGCCCTGTCAACTCGCGAAGCCCACTTCCGCGCAGTTCACGTCTGAAGCACGCCGCGATCCCGCATCATCTCTCCGAACTGTCAGACGACGGAGTAGATTCTCCCACATACGATGGAGATGTAGAAAGCAGTACGACCGTGGCCGCTCCTGCGAGCAGCACATTATCCAACGCATCGGCTAGCGCGAGTGCGAGCACCATGACGTCCCCCGCGTCAGTAGCGCGCGAACTCCCACCTGAAGGCACAGTGCTCACTGCACTAGTGCCTGCTCCACCTGGTGCAAGTGACGAAGGCCAAGTACGCGCCATACCAGTGACGGTACAGCACGGTCATCATGTCACAGAGCCCCCGCCTGTAGAGGCCGCTCAGGAGGCGTTCAACCCCGCTAGTCTTACTCCGGAAGATATCAAGGCTTTCGTGCAGGATGCGATCAAAGGAGATGGATTGCGGCAATATAGAGTTAACCCGCCGCCGACGGGAAGACCTATACGGGTATACGCAGATGGTACGTCCACTACCCATCTCATCTGCTTCGCTGTCCTGATCTGCATGGAAGGTGTCTACGATCTCTTCCATTTCGGGTAAGTCCTCCTTTGCCGCTTGGTCTGATGTGCACTGAGTATTCAACCAGTCACGCATTACAGCTCAGGCAGGCCAAGCTGAGCTTTGACGACGTCCATCTTCTCGTCGGCGTAAACTCGGATGAGCAGGTCAAGACGAACAAGTTCAAATGCATCATGAACCATGCCGAACGGTATGTCTCTGGCTAGGTGCTATTCTGCACTTCTGATCTCACTCGTCGTAGATGCGAAGCCGTCCGTCATTGTCGCTGGGTAGACCAAGTTGTTCCCGATGCACCGTGGGTCATCACGCAGGAGTTCGTGGACAAGTACCAGATCGACTATGTGGCTCACGACGATGATCCATATGTGAGCGCGGGGCATGACGACGTGTATCAGTTCGTGAAAGACCAGGGTGCGTCTATAATTACACTCCTCTGAGGTGTTCGAGATATTGACGGAACTTCCAGGCAAGTTCTTCCCAACACGCCGCACGCCTGGCGTCTCCACGTCCGAACTACTAGAACGGATTGTACGCGGATACCGCCTGCGCGACTTCGACAAGAAGCTCGCGAAGATGGGTCGCGCGGAACTCATGGCAGAAGGCTCGGACTTTGACGACCAAAGCTCCAAAGCGCCGTCTCCGCAATGATCTGCGCGCACATTGTTGTCGGCTTGACTTTGAGATGGAATGGAAAGTACAGTATACGTTGGCCCGGTAGACAGATGCTGCTCGGGCTTGTAGATCCTAAACATGAACTTGACGTGTATCATACGATGCTTCCCGATGTAGCGATTGCGATAATACAACGCACGATTTGACCTCCCAGCACCCGCGCCGTTCACTTGGCGTGCCGCATGCACACTGGCCGCTCGCGGCTACACAGGCCACAGCCGGCGGTATGCAAGGTTTGTCCAGCGTCTACAAAGACCAACAAGCGCTTGCAGATTGGCCGATTACGTACCAGCGTCTAAAGAATCGATATCGATGACAGCAGGCGCGCTGCCTTCACACAAAAAATGGGTCTACAGTTTACTATTTTCACAGATAGTATCGGCGGCTGCTACAACAACCCAGGAGAAGGTGATGATGTAAGTATGGCTTGCTGAGTACAACAACGACGCGGACAAAGGCGGGGAGATCCAGACGAGGAGGGTGGGTGAAATGCGGACATCGACACAGTATCGAACAACCGCATGCAAAACAAGGAAAGCGGACGACTCGACAAAGCAAGGATGGACGAAAGGAACGAGCTTAAGCGCCCTTGGGGGCCTCCTTGACGGAGATGGCCTGTGCGAAAGGAAAGGTCGATCAGTTATCTAATCCAGGACTCCGCAGTGGCGGTGAAAATGAACGTACCTGCTCCTCGCCCATGGCAGAGACGATGGTGACGAGCAGGTCCTTGCCGTCATCGAAGTCGGCCTGGATCTGCTTGCCGAGGTCACCCTCCGGGACCTTAACGTCGTCCTTCGCGGTACCGTCCTGGGTCATGAGGTTGAGGAAACCGTCGTCGACGTTGACCTTTGATGGCACGCGGAGTCAGCATTTCAGGCGCGTGCAGGCGAAAATCAATGGGCGCTTACGAGCTGGTACTCGTTACGGGTGACGTTGGGGACATCCATGTTGTGGGTGGAGGGAGAGATATCCTCCTGCATGGCCCGTTAGTGGTCTGTGGGGTAACCTATATCGTCAGTGGCGAGTACGCACAAGCTTTTTGCCAGTGAAGATCTAGAGGACAGAGTCAGATCCCGCGTGTTCTCAAAATTCCGATGGATAACGGAAATAACTTACGTCGATGGCGACGAGATGGACCTTGGCGTGACCGTGCTTGCCAGTCTTGGAGGTCGACATGTCGACGATCTTGCAGGGACGACCTAGATCGCGTTCCATGTTCAATTTCACTTCTACGCGATCCAGGCTTTCCACTACGCACCCTTGATGACGACGTGTCCGTTCTTGCGGAGAGCCGAGCATTGCATGGGGAAGGTGAGCGAGGCGCCCGCAGAGGCCTACGTGTACAACGTTGAGCATCTAGGTCTTTGCCACGCGAGATCGATCAGAAGAATCGCGTACCTGCTCAAAGGTCTGGTTGTGCTGCTCGTCGTCAGACATCGTGACTTAGTTTTGCGGGAAGAGGTGGTGGAAGGAGAGGCGACGAGGAAGGTGAAGCGGGATGGGAGCAGAACGCAAGAGCGCGAAAATCAGAGGATCTTACGGCCAATGCCGAGGAATTCATGATCCGCTTCGGCGATAGCCGCTCGTGGGGCACAATTCTGTTCTCGGACAAGGAAACAGCGAATGAGGAATTAGGTATCTGTCGCATCTTCTTAATTACAGATAGGGTAGGTCTTTCCCTTGCGACTCTTTAGATCGCTAATATGGCGTCAGTACTTCCACCAGTCCTAAATGAACCCTTACAACCCAATATATACATGCCAATAAGTGAGGGTATGCGCGCAAATATTGCAGATCAATACAGTATAGAAGCCAGTATCCGAAGCAGCCATCAACCCTACAAGGAGCATACAATCCGATCTTGCATAAGAAAAGGTACAGCTAACGAGCGTAGGGGTGGAAAGAGTGTTGCCCGCGGTTCATGACACGAGCGGGTCCTGGTCCTTGAGCCATACCTGCACCTCGCCCTGCTCCGCGTCCTGCACCCATCATTCCCATACCGTTCATCATGCCCATCCCACCCATGGGGCGCATACCCCCCATAGCCATTCCGCCCATCATACCCGCGTTCATACCACCCATACCGGCGGCCATGCCGCCCATGCCCATGCCAGCGTTCATGGTGTTACCCATGCCGCCCATGCCACCGGCACCCATTGGGCCCATACCCAGGCGCATTGCGCCACCGCCGCTTGCCTGAGAACATGTTGAGCGTCATTCATCGCGATCGAGAAAGAGAAGCGTACCATGTTACCCATCCCGGTGTTGACGGGACTCATAGACCCGCTCATGGCCATCGGACTCTGCATACCACCCTGCATCCCGTTTTGCATCCCGCCCATCATGCCATTACCGGCGGCACCCATCATGCCTCCGCCCTGCATACCGCCGCCCATCATCCCGCCCTGCATCCCCGCACGCATACCGCCCATCATCATCGGGTTGCCCATCATCCCGCCCATACCCATTTGGCCCATCTGACCCATCTGACCACCCATCATGTTGCCCATCCCGGTCTGCATACCGCTGTTCATGCCCATCATGCGCTGGTAGAGCATGTTCATCTGTTGCGGGTCCGCCGCGCCGGGGGTCTGCATGCCTATGCCCATTCCATTGCCGCCCGTGTTGACTGTGGTGATGGGGCGCGGAGCGGTGGTCGTTGTAATAACATCGCCGTTGTTGTGAGCCCTCGTCGAATCGCGCGTTGAGCGCGGCTGTGCCGTCTTGACTTCGATCTGGATACATCACATGAGCGATGGTCCGCGGAGGTTCAAGCGCAGGAACGAACCTGCTTCTCATCGAGAACCAACCCAGAACGCCCGACAAGCATGTTCTCCGGAGAGTTATCCTCGAACGTGACGAAACCGAAGCCCTTGCTACGGCCCGTCTCGCGGTCGACCATGACCGTCGCATCTACGACCTTCCCGAACGACGAGAAGAACCCCTTCATGCTCTCGCTCGTCGTATGCGCCGCGAGCCCGCCCACGAAGTAGCGTGTGTTGCGCAGGTGCTCCTCGCGTGGGATCGCACGCTTCGGGTCGATCTAATCGACTCCAAGTTCAACATCTGAACTCAATACAAAAGGGCACAAGACCATGCTGACCGATTTGCCGTCGAGGAAGTGCTCGCGTATCATCACCGCATTCACGCTTGCGGGGTCCTCAAAGGTGAGGAATGCGAAGCCGCGGCTTTTGCCTTCGCCATCGCGGACGATCGTGCAAGCGTCGACCTTGCCGAATTCGCTGAAGTATTTCCTGAGGCCATCTTACAAAGGACGACATCGTCGTTAGCGTGTGCAAAACATCATTTGACATTGGTGGTATGGAGGGGTAAGGAAGGGAGTATCGCGATGGGGGTGAAAATATGTAGGAAGATAAGTACCGTCTGTGGTATCCCAGGACAAACCGCCGACAAACATCTTGCTGGTAACGCGTAGGGGAGCGAGCGGAGAGGTCATAGGTGGGCCGGTAGACGTGCAGGTACGCGACGTAGAGGACGTAGGTGTCGACAAGGAGTGCGCAGTATATGTCGAGTGTAAAGCGAGCGTGTAAAACACATGGACGAGGAGAGAGGATGGAATGCGTGAGTAACAGTCTCAACAGGGAAGGTGCCACAGGAAAGCAGAACCCGAGTCTGGAGGCAGAAGCGTGCTATTACAGCGCGTACAGTGGGCGGTGAGCCGGCACCAAGTAAGGTATACCGGACGCCAAATTTAGAGTACGAGCATTGCGAAACAAACGAGGCGTATGTCCGTAGAAGCCGGGCGGAGTTCAACTACAACGAGCACGGACACCGCAAGGACCAATAGACCATTGAACGAGGTACAGAAGGACGGCGAGACTCACCCTTCGTCCTTCATTTCGGACGGCCGTACGGGACGCGAGGCGTCTGGCGTACCACCGGACGCCGGCGCGGAGGCCGACTGGCGCTCCTGGCTGGGCGTCTGTTGATATTGGGAGAACTGTTGGGCTATTTGCGCCGAGTATGAAAGCGCATTGTCCGCGGCAGTTGTAGGCTTTGCTGGTAACGAGGATGGCGTTGCTGTTGGTGTGGGCTTGACGGGCGGTGCAGCCGGCGTTGTCGTTTGTTGTTTCGCCGGTAATTGCGCTAATACTGTAGTGGCGGCTTTCTTTGCGGACTTGTCGTCCTTATCGTCTTCGTTCTTCAGAAAGTCCTCATCGTTTTCGTCGAACGCCGAGGTGTTGGCAGCGGTTGTACCGTTTGATACTCCGAAATCGTCGTCCAGGTCATCTCCGTAAAGACCTTATGAGCGCGAGTCAGTAAAATACACCGAATATTCATCTCAAGTATCAGCTACCGTCATAGAGATTGTCGTCGAGGTTGTCAGACTTGGAAGCAGTGGCGGCCATAGTGATAGTCGAGGAACAAGACGGGTCCTTGCGCTCGGACCAAGCGCGTCTGCTAGTTGAGTCGAGTCCACGTGGGGAAACAGAGCGGCGGCTCCGTTGTTCTCGTGAGCTGCGCGAGCCCGCTCTTGACGACCACCATGTCGTTCGGCGCCTAAGCGCTCGGCGCTCACAAGCAGTGCACTTACGAAGATCCCGATAGAGAACGTACTTTATGAGCCCCTCTATCTAGAGCAAACTTCGCCTGGCCTTTGCTGGAAGGACATCGCTTCAGGAGTGCCTACCACCGTCGTGGTGACTCTGTACTCACAGTTTTCATACCGAGTCTTTCCCCGGACGAGGTACAAGGCATGACGCGTATGTGAAAATGCCTTTGACGCAGCTGAACATGTATTCATAGTCTGTATTCACTACGGCACACGCTTTTTTCGGACTGCCCACATGCGCTCGACTCATCCTGTGTCCCGTGGGGCAACGGATTCAGCATATTTCCGAGCTTTAAGCAGACCTCCCGGCTCGCTGCATTGCTCTTCTTGCTCGGATGTCGATGCCAAGGATCCTCCGTGGCTCAAGTCCTCGGCATGTGCAGGTGATGAACCCTGCGCTCACAAGCCGCGTGCTTCGGCATATCGTCTACTCTGACTTTCTGTTTAAGCAGTCCCCTCTCCGAGCGCCTTAGAACCAAAAGTACTGTACGGCCCGCGCTTGAATATCTACTCCCAACGGCAATATAGCGCTAGCTTCAATGGAGCGGAAGACCGGTTGTTAACCCAAACCTGGTATCTCCCCTCGGAGTAATTGCACCTAAACCTCGGCGTCTACGCCTTCTTCTCCGTACCGACGATCAACCTACATCTCACTTCAACCTTCTGCATGACCTCACCTTCGCGTCCGAGCTATTCCGTGTCAAGACAAATTCGCCACCCATATAAACCGCAGAGTACGCTGCTTTGGTTCACCACGGACGGCCGGTCTTGAACGATGTTCTTCCAGACAGCTCTGCTCGCCGCGCTTGCATCTGGCGTTGCCTCGCACGCAACGTTCCAGGACCTCTGGGTCAACAATGTCGACCAGGGCGCATACTGCGTGCGCCTGCCGTTGAGCAATAACCCCGTCACGGACGTCACCTCCACCGTACGCATTCACCTGCCGTGTTTCCTCGTGATTTACTGAAGGTCATCTTCAGGATCTGACCTGTAACGTCAACCCTACTCCCTCGGCCGGTATCTGCCAGGTTATGCGTATGTTGTCTTTGCTGTCGTATGATCTTAGCGTAGCTAACCTGTATCATCTGGACAGCCGGAGACACCGTCACGGTCGAGATGCACCAGCAACCCGGTGATCGCACTTGCGCGAACGAGGCGATTGGCGGAGACCACTTTGGACCCATCCAGTTGGTCATGTCAACATCTCATCTTGACCTCAGCTAATAACGGTACACAGGGTCTACATGGCGAAGGTTGACGATGCGACGACCGCGGACGGCAGCTCTCAGAGCTGGTTCAAGATCGGCGAGATGGGTCTTCCCAGTAACAACCCGGACTACTGGGGAACTGAGGTCTTGAACGACAACTGCGGTCACTTCACCGTCACCGTCCCCAAGGACATCGCACCTGGCAACTACCTTCTTCGCGCCGAGGTTATTGCCCTTCACGTCGCGAGCTCTCCCGGTGGCGCGCAGTTCTACATGAGCTGCTTCCAGGTCAACGTTGGCGGCAGCGGCACTGCTTCGCCTTCGGGCGTCAAGATCCCCGGCGCTTACTCCGCATCTGACCCTGGCATCCTCATCAACATCTACCAGACTCTGGCATCCTACACTAGTACGTGTCCTCCTACTACACCGCTTGAGATACCGCCTAACTATAGCACTAGTCCCCGGCCCGACTCCCTACAACTCACCTTCGCCCGTTCCCGCCACCACCGCATGGCCGACGACCGCTACCTGGAACACCGCGACACAGCCCACGACCGTCCCGGCGCTCCCGCCAGGCTCGACTTCCGCTGCTGTTCCGCCCAGCCAGACAAGTGCTGCTTCCGGTGCCACTCAGACTGCGTACGGCCAGTGCGGTGGTACGGGCTGGACTGGTCCGACGGCGTGCGCTTCCGGTTTCAAGTGCAACGCTCAGTCGCAGTACTACGCCCAGTGTGTCCCGGCTTGAAAAAGGGTATCTCGGCGTCACCTTCTCGTGTCAATGTAACTTTATCGCATCTACCACCACTGCTAATAACGGTATGAGTCGTATGCCGGTACCAGTTGGTTTGATCGGACATGAAGGTAACCTCCGCTGATCCTCTATGCATGGGGTGATCTCGCACGTTTCGCCTTAACGGCGCACAAGGTATGAGCCCGCGTTACTGGATACACGCTGACGGTGCTCTCGTGCTCCTTGTCTCTCCACTTCGTATCTGGGCTATGACAACCCGTAACATCGCATGCACTCTCATTTGGTACGATAGGGCATGGACGTCATAATTTGATATATTCAACAGTGACAACAGGATCATCACAGGCCTATGATGTCTCTAGGGACCCCGAGTGACTTAGAAGGTACCTGGTACAAGCTGCATGCTGGGCTGATCACCATCGGTTTCCTGATCGGACTCGTCTTGTTTTGCCTGTGTGCGTACGACGATCAGTCGAGCTCTGCGCCTACAATCAGTATCTCACTCACCAAGTTGCGTTTATCGTGTGTCCAGCCACCGCAACAGCAAGAGGGCATGCCGGGTATCTTCCCGCAACAGAACCTCTGCTTTCTTCCCTTGAGGAAGATCCTCTCGAGTATCTGCGCAGGTAGACGTTCTTCATTCACTTTTGCTCTAAGGTGCTCGTCCGCGAAAGCGAAGATGCGAAAGAAGGGTTGAAGGCCGGCAGGTTCAAGTATACCGGGCGGACCGAACTTGAGAGTGAGAAGATACGAGCCCATTCGCGGCGGTCGCCGCGCGCCCGTCCGCTCCTGCAAGTCCCGTGCGGCGTACTGGCGGAACATCATGAGCGCACGCATCGTATTGGCAGGCGGGATCAGATGTTGTGGGTCATAATTGGCGTCGGGCGCGTAGGAGAGGGTTTTATGGACGAAGCGGCAGCCTTGCATGCGGAACTTCCGCTCTACAGGGAGCGAATCGTCGTTTTGATAGAGGAGAAGAATGTGCAATGTATAGTCGGCTTCTGATCCTTTGCCACCCATGATGTAGTGCGATAGAGCTGCATTCGTTATACTGTCGTGGTGGTACTCGCGCCACTGCGCAAACTCAGCCCACGCTCGCGGGTTGCCGGACGCAAGAACCGCGTTGTTGCGCTTGTTCTGGAAATCCTTGCACTCATCCTTGTGCCCGCCCTTCCATCCCTGAACTTGACATTCTCTTGACTGTTCGTATCAGCATCAGTGAGCTGATCAATGCTTTGCGAGACGGGTAACAGAACGTACACAATACCGAGCAACCTGGCACTCTTTACAGCGAGCTAGCTTCATCGAGCCTTCTTCTGGACCTGCACATCGACGCATCTGCTTGCAGCAGTCGCAAGTAGCATGAGTATGCAGAGGAAACTTTGCATCGTGGAAGTCGCTGAGTGGAGGGGTCATCGCGGACGGAGGGAAAGAGTGCGACTACAGGCCCCATACGATCGCTCGGGAGATAACCTGAACTCGAGACCAACACGCGCGAAATATGGTAATCGGCAACTTCTCCCGAGAGCACCTTCTTGCGCCAGCGTCCACTAAGAGTTCACTGCTCCGCACCCTATCCTGAGACGCAGGTCCTACATGCCGCTACTCATTCGACAAGACATGGCTGTGACTGCGTATGCACGAATGGGAAAGCACGGATTCAGGATCTGCGGTACCACTGCACGAGGCAAGCCACGCGAAGTGCGCGGCGCCTCTCGATCCTGCAACGTCTGCGGGCTTCACAATGGCTTCTGACCGAGCTGGGATTGTCTGCGCTCCCCGTACGGCTGTACAAAAGGATTGTGGCGGTATGAAGCAAGCGCGTGAAAGCCGGCGGCGGCGCATCAGACCACGTCGCACGTTGGGCTGGCAGTCCGCTCACTGGCCTCTCCTCCAACGTCCATGGCGCATGATCCCGAGGCAGTTGTTACCTGAGACCATCTGCACCTCGGCGCCTTCCTCTACCTCGAACCCCATTATGCTCTGCAGATACTTACTTACCCTGACCCGTCGATGATTGGATGCGCGCAACCGATGCCAAGAAATGACGTCTCGTCTCGGGCTAACCCCACCTAAACTTCGGCTTCTACACCTTCTTCATCAACAAACCGTGAAGCCAGGTCAAGTGCTTGAGAGGGCTTCAAGCAACTCAAGCGATTTAAGAGAACCCACCATTTGAGTCCTCGCTCGTCGAGTTCCCAGCGCTCGCTCGGTCCGTCTTGAGGCGTCCCGTGCGACATCTTGCCGTAGATACGTTCCGTCGCATCTTTGCTACCCAGCAATGCAAGTCTAAGCTCGAAAGTCCGAGTAACGAGTGAGTTCCAGATTCGGAAAACCGTCGAGAGGACGAAAATGACATTCGCGCCGCGCGTGGCAGCGCTTTAGCGAGCCTCGAGGCTGGTCTACAGCCAATGGCCAGCGTCAATCACACGCCGCTTAACGCGCTCGAGACCTGATTCATCTTGCAAAAGCTCTTGCATCGCTTGAATCGCTTGAGTTGCTTGAAGCCCTCTCAAGCACTTGACCTGGCTTCACGGTTTGTTGATGACTTCTCCGTCCCGACGATCTACCTATACCTCACTTCAACCGCCAACATGATCTTAGCAATACATTCAGGCTAATCCGCGGCGAGGCGGAATCGCCGCTTATAAAAGGTGAGCGGTACGCTATCTCAACTCGCCAAGGACGACCAGACTTGAACAATATCAATGTTCTTCCAGACCGCTCTGCTCGCTGCGCTCGCCTCCAGCGTTGCTTCACATGCAACATTCCAGGACTTCTGGGTCAACGGCGTCGACCAGGGAGCGTTCTGCGTGCGTTTGCCCTTGAGCAACAGCCCCGTCACGGACGTTACCTCTACCGTACGCGTATACATTGTCTCCTCTTGCATAGGTTGCTAAAGTATATCTATAGGATCTTGCATGCAACGCCAATGCTCACGCTGCATCCGGGATTTGTCAAGTTATGCGTACGTTCTCGTCACTGCTAGCATCTGTTCATGACATGCTCAACGTCCGAATCTTGACTAGCCGGAGACAGCGTCACAGTTGAGATGCACCAACAAGCTGGTGACCGCTCGTGTGCGAACGAGGCCATCGGTGGAGACCACTTCGGACCAGTTCAGTACGTTGACATCAGTCATCTATTCTCACGTTCAACCCGAACTAACATCTTACGAGGGTCTATATGGCGAAGGTGGATGACGCAACGACGGCGGTCGGAAGCTCGCAGAGCTGGTTCAAGGTCGGCGAGATAGGTCTCCCCAGTAACAACCCCGACTACTGGGGAACCGAAGTCCTCAACGACAACTGCGGCCATTTCACTGTCACCGTCCCCAAGGACATCGCCCCCGGAAACTACCTTCTTCGCGCCGAGGTCATCGCCCTCCATGTTGCAAGCTCCGTCGGCGGTGCGCAGTTCTACATGAGCTGCATCCAAATCAATGTCGGTGGTAGCGGTACCGCGAAGCCCTCTGGTGTCAAGATCCCCGGCGTGTACTCCGCGTCCGACCCCGGCATCCTCATCAACATCCACCAGACCCTTGCGTCCTACACAAGTCAGTCTTCCGCTTGATCGTGCTCCGACTCCCTTCTTACCGTGTCAACAGTTCCCGGCCCGACCCCCTACAACTCGCCCTCGCCCGTTCCCGTCGCAACGCCTTGGCCTACGACTGCTACCTGGAACACCGCGACTCAGCCGTCGACCGTCCCCGCACTCCCGCCCGGCTCGACCTCTGCTGCTGCTCCGCCGAGCCAAACCAGCGGTGCCGCTGGTGCTGCCCAGACTGCTTACGGCCAATGCGGTGGTACGGGCTGGACTGGCCCGACGGCGTGCGCTTCCGGTTTCAAGTGCAACGCGCAGTCGCAGTACTACGCCCAGTGTGTCCCAGCCTGAGTAACAGTCTTGTCCACAGGCAAGCGCTTCCTCATGACTGTATGCGTACTGTGAATCTGTATCTGCTTGACTCAATTGTAATGCCATATATCCAAGATGTTCAATGTACAGGTCTACAGCCTGAGCTGTTGGTGGTAGCCACCAGCTTTGTCCACAGCTCTATGCCAACGAATGCGCTCTCTCCCTCATCCTCGGCATCTTATCCTTGACATCTGACGCAGAAGCCCGACGTTGACGTCCACGTGGTTCCGCAGAAGTAGAGTCCGGCGATTGAATGCCTTGTAGCTCCGCGCTATCTGACCGCGCCACCTCAACCTGGTCGCTGACGCTGACTGGACTACCCGGCGGCATTACCTGTGTATCGAGCATCGCACTCACACGATGATAATCCTGGGTAATCCATCTGAGAGCTTGGGTAGCATCTCTAAGCTCGCGTGTCGCGTCCTTGAGCGCTCGCGCAGAATGGAAGTCAACCATAGGCGGTGGCCGTGAGGGCGGCGGAGGCATGGCGGGCGGTTGGACATAGTACGCTGGCTGAGCCGGTGCAGGATGAATTGGGTAGGTTGGCACCATGTTCGGCATCGTGCCGTGTGGGGTGAAGTGCGCCTCATAAGGGTTGTTGTACGGGTGAGGGTTCATAGTGTCTCCTCGCGGACCGTATCCTAGCGGATTGAGGTAGAAGAATGAACCGTCGGCCCCAGGTATGGCGAGACTAGATGGAGAGGACACCACAGGAGCAAATGGAGGGTGCAAAGGGCCCGCGCTATGGTGCTGTTGTCGGGGGACCTTATATTGCGGCGGCGGAAAACTGTGAGGTGGCACGGATTCGTCGGAGTGTGTGACTCGCAGTTGAGAGCGCGGTCGCGAGAGTCTCGAGTCTAGATCCGAGTGAGCTGTCGAAAGCACAGGTTCCGCGTGCTCTGGAGATACCGGAGGAGTTGCCAAACGGGATCCAGCTGTCGTGGCTTGCAAGCTATCAGGCGCAGCTTGCGAAGAATCCTGGCTAGTGTAAACTGAGGAAAGGCTGCCAAACGATATCTCAGTTCGCTCGAGTCTAGCGGGCGCCCTGAGGCCTTCGGGGACCACGACGGCTTGATTCTTGAAGAGTATGGAGTGCTTTTGGGCAGCGCTCGGGGAAGGTCTGCTCTCTGGCTTCTCCAGAGCGTGATGAGCTGGTACCAACGTTTGCTCGACTACTGCCGCAGGTGCATCTATGGGTTTGGACTGTTGCACTGGCAGAGTAAGTCCAAGCTTTGCCTGCGGCGTCATCGGGGTCTTCGTTGGCATTGCGCTCGTCGACGAAGTCGGATCGGGTTCATAGGGCGTATCCCCAAGACCGACGGGCTTTTCCAAATTCGTGGGAACGAGGGTCGTTTGATAGGATACTGGTGTCTTATTTCTCATGTTTCGCGGTAGTACACTCGTTGATCTCTCGTCAACAGCGCCCGACTTCGTGTGCATCATCGGTGTCGCGCGTGAGCGTCGCCTCTCTTTCCGTCTCGCTTTTTTTGACTGAATAGCAGTCCACTGGTCGACCGTGTCTGTATCGGAGGCCAATCGGCCGACGTAAGCTCAACAATCACCACGTGTTGAAGACTCAGGCTCGCATACCTTCGCCGAGGCGCAGCGCAGCGTGTTCAATATCTCCTGTTGTCTCCATGAGCACGCTATGCAGATCTGCACAACAATCAGTTCTCCAAAACTCGGTGCAATCTACGTATATGATCCTCACGAACCCTCGTATGACCTTTGCGGGAAGAGTTCCTGAAGAAGGTCGACTTGTTCATTGTATCGAACATCTTCTGCTTTGTGAATCGCATTGTCGGCAATAGCACGGCTATCTCCTGTCGCCGCGGCAGTGAGCTGATGATCCTGGTCTTCCACAGCGGGCTGATCGGCGCGGGGGTCTGTGGTGGTGACGAGCGAAACGTCAGAGGTAGGAGATAAGGCCTGTGGCGACGTCCGGTCCGGATACCCGATCCCATGCTCTAATATGTCGAATGTGTGAGACGGACGGTTGTCTGATGGTGGTACTGAACCTGTATTTGACTCGACTTTCCGCTTCTTCTTACGCAATTTCTTGGCCTTAGGCGTGTCTTGCAACTTCGCGAGACCTATGTAGAACAAGCGTGAGCAGACTAGCAACTTTGCGTCATCACTAGAGGGCGGAGAGGTTATGCGGAATATGTATAGTATAGTTTACGAGAAGCAAAAGATCTGACTCACCCTCGCCTTCTCCGCGTATTGAGGCTGGCTTCAGATACCCCCATTCTTCGAGCGTCTTCTTATCTTGATCTATGCAGCGGGTGAGCTACCACACAATGAATATCACGACATGCGTTGCACACCATCGAGAGAGTCTAGAGGGAAGAGCTCCTATAACGCATGAGGTCACGCTGTCAGTTGTCAAGATAGAATATTTAGACCAGGGAACAAACCTCTTCAGGCTCGTGTGCATTTCCTCCGCAACAACATACAGACATCTCAGAATCTTTCCCGCAGCAGAACCTGTATTTCCACCCTTTCTTCAGTCGCTCATGCAGAATGTCCGAGGGGTGCATGTAGTCGTTGAGTTTCGCGTGGATCTGTGTCTCCGTAATCGGGAAACTGCTCTGAAACTGGAGATCACTGGGCCCGGCTGCACGATCGAAATGCAAGACGAGAAGGTACACCCCCATCCGTACGGTTCGCTGTGTGCCCTCACGAACTTGCAATCTGCGTGCCGCCGCCTCGCGCGTGTCCAATATGTATTTCAGCGTCGCAAGACGAGGGACGAAGGGTGTACCCTTGACACACGCATCTTCGTCGGCGAAGCTCCCGCCCACCGAGTAGAACTTCTGCTCAAGTGGCGTACTCGAGTCCGACTTGTATACGAGAGCCACAGTATAGACATGTTCTTTCTCGGAGCCGGGTCCTTCCGCAATGCAGCATGCAAGAGCTGCATTCGTTATGTTATCACGGTGATGCTCGTGCCACCGAACGAAGTTAAGCCACGCGTTCGGATCGCCAGTCAAACGGAACGCCTCGTTGCGAATATACTGCCATCGCTTGCAGTCCTCTTTATGATCCTTCCACGCCTGAATCTGGCAAGTCCTTGACTATTTGAATGACATCAGCACTGAAGTCCTTGTAGTAGAATTGCCACGTACGCAGTACTGAAGAACTTGACACCTGCCGCAGCGTTGGAGGTGTATGGAGTCATCTAGGCCCATGACCCGACTCGCCCTCAGACAGTAAGCACAGGCAGGATGGGTGTGCACCGGGGTATCCGCATAGTGGTATTTGTTCAAGGCGAGGCTCATCAGGGGACGAGTCAAGCAGCGCAAACGCGAAACCCTGTGCGACCTTCTTCGAGCACGCGACACCGTTAGGCGCTGAAGCTGCAGGTGAACGACGATTCGATGATGGCAGTCGCGGATAAACGGCCACGCATGCCGCGCGTGAACTTCGCGTAATGATATGCGTGTTCTATAATAGTTCTATGTGCAGTCAATTTGTCATGCGGCCGTTGCGTATTCTACGAAGTCCTTTACTGCAGATCTATGTTTGCATTGTACGGGGCTGTATCCTGCGCGAGCTAACTTGTCAGTACATGTCCTTAGCTAGAGAACGACTGCCCGGTTTGGGGGCGTTATTGTTGATCTCATTAACTTGGCTGAGCAGAGATGAAACGACGGTAGTGCCAATTACAGGTTCCATAGTCTACCGTGAGGTCAAGATAGGATAACATGTACACTAGGAGGCAAGGGCGATAAGGTATTCACATAACACGACCGGGCGCTGACGAGCTCCGCGATGACCTGACTATCCTGGCAGCGGACCTCAGGCCTCATTGCTCGCACAGGGCGACCCGCCTTCAGATTCATTCTTGGTACTGCCGCTTCAGACGAGGGTTCTGTAGCGAACGTGCTCTCTTCTCTTCCTCCGGTTCCGTCACCGCCGCACGATCAACACCGACTCCGATGTCCACAGCCGATGCTCTTCGAAGACGGCCACGTCTCGGCACAGGACTAGATGGCGGACATGACTCGTCGACCTCTGTAGATGTATCGCGCAAGCTCGATTGCTCGGATATCTCCACGTCAGGGCTGACAATTGTGGATCCAGTTGGCGCCGTACCCGCCGCCTCCACCAAGTGGTATCTTTGCGCAGCCTCTCGAAGCACTCGCGTAGCCTCCATCAACTCACGCGTGGCGGCTTCCAAAGCCCGGGTAGCGCCCGAATCAGTGGGCATGGTCACCATAGGCTGAGCATATATCGGAGGGACAAACGGCGCGCGCTCAGGGTCAACAACACCCGCATCAGAGTTCGTCGTCGCCCCGTACGCGCCAGCGTACGCGTTGTAAGCCGCAACATAAGCAGCGTAGTTTGGATGGATGTGCGCTCCGTATGGGTTCGTGTGCGAATGTGCTTCATGCGCACGAGGTGCGTCAAGACCAGGGGGCGGTTCCGTTGTTGGCGGGTGCGTTTGATTGGATTGTGGCGACGATGCATCCGTGGGTTGACGCCGGGCGGGGATGCGGTACCGCTGTGGCGTCGGTTCGGAAATGACGGGCTCTTGATGAGCTGGTTCTTGTGGCGGGACACTCTCAAATTGCGGAGTGGCCTCGTGAGACGAAGCTGCCTCGGAATCGAATACTTCCGTAGGAAAATACACTGCCTGATCGGGCGGGAGGAAGCCAATCGTCGGAAAGCTGAGCTCAGGTTCATCATGTTGCGCTATGGGTTTATCAAGTGCTGCAGCGATCGTCTCCTCGAGTTCCGAGTCGTGCTCTTGCACGACATTTTGTATCAGTTCTGGTTCAACGCCCTCAGAATCAACGAGTACAGGAGCTGGACTCGGCGCACGTATTTCTGCGGGTTCGAGAGGTGGCGAAGGTTCGAGTGGTGATGATGGGACAGGACTCAGAGTACGCTCGCGTTCCGAGAGAGGTAGAGCCTCCGTTTCTGATACACGCGAAGATGGAGTCGCTGTTAAGGGTTCTGATTCCATCTCGCCTTGCGGTGCGATTGGCGGCGCCGGCTGAATGTGGCCTTGCGGCGTCGGTTCAGTATCTTCTGCACGATATGTCTCCTTCATTGCCGGAGGTTCAGTAGGTACCTCTACGGTCTCCATATTAATGGGTGGCGGTGGCGTACCGCGAGTCGCGGTGGGTGTACGGATATCCAACCGAGCTGACGACAATAGACTCTGCTTCTCTCGCCGCTTCTCCTTCTTGGACTTCACGGGAACCCATTGCTGTACTGTGCCTGCGGAGCGAAAGGATACCGTTAGCGGATCAGGTATAAGTGAGAACTCGGACAGTATACCATCTCCAATCTGCTGGGCGGCAAGCTTGACATCGCCGCGCGTCTCTACCAGCACATTCTTGAGGTCTATGGAGATACATCAGCTCGCTGACGATCCAGCCGGTGACGATAAGACAAACCATCATAAGACCATGAAGGGAAGAGTTCCCGCAGTGTGTGAACTTGCGCATCGTACTTGAATGTTCGTGCCTCGGGCTGGGATATGATAGGTTCGGGGTCTTTGGCGTGTATCGGCGCATCCGACGACGATCCACCTTCTGGAGGAAGCAATTTCCCACCAACATCCACATCAACGGGAGCGTCGGCAGCAGGCTCAGGGACGTCTTGAGGCAGATCCATCGTAGGAGGATCAGGGGTAGAGTGGACATCGCCCTCAGTGTCGCTCGGGGTCTCGTCAACATCCTTTCGAACAGAGGACATTGCGGTGTCGGACGTCTTAGGTACAACCGGCGATGGTCCCTTCGGCTTTTTCTTCTTTGGCTTTTTCTTCTTCGATCTTGACCTATGTGACGCCTGCTCTTCAGTCCCGTCTGAGAGCCAGGGTGGCGAAAAGTGAGTGCGCAATCAGAACGAGGGAGTGTGAGCGGCGTACCATCGCCTCCTTGTGCTGCTGACAACTCGGTAGAGTCCGGGCGATCCGATGATGCCTCGTTGTCTACAGGCATAGGGTCAGTTCAGTACCGTATTGTATTCATACTCGCACATCACGCACCTCCTTGTAAGGTCAGTAGCAGTACTTGCTCCTAGATATAGAAAAGTCTAGTTAGTCATACGAGTTCCAATGTTCAGAACTGGAGAGTTGACCTTGGTCACATCATCATGCGTCCATCCTCCACAACAGCAAAGAGCCGGGGGCATCCCAAGATTCTTCCTACAGCAGACCTTGACTCTCCTCCCCTCCTGTAATAACTCCGTCAAGATACGTGTGGGTGGTATGGGCAATACCGAGGCATCGAGCTGTTCCGACGCGAATGTGTAGTGCACAGCGTATAAACAACGATCGGCTTTAGGGTCGAAACTAAGGAAGAAAATGCAGGTTCTCGTCCATTCAGGCTCTGTCTCGAGACCATCCGTGATCCGGCGGTCATGCATCGCACGGAAGTTCGCTTCTCGTGTCTGCAGGACCTTGTGTATTGCGATCCTGATTCGTATGTCGGAGTCGTTCCTTGGCGCAAACCGGGCCGACTCTACGGCGAATATGCGCTCGATGGGACACGAGTGCTGCCCCTTGTATGCAAGAAAGAGGCACAGAACGTCTTCGGCAGAATCGCGACCTTTGGAGGCGCAATGTGCCAAAGCGGCGTTCGCAAGGTTGTTATGATGGTAGTCGGACCATGCGGCAAAGTCCGCCCACGCGTTTGGGTTGCCCGACGCCTTTACGGCGTAGTCGTGCGGAACACGCCAGTCCTGACAGGCTAACTTGTGAAGGCTCCAGTCCTTCAATTGACACTCTTTGGACTGTGAGAGTATTGTCTTTGTCAGCTCACGTATAGTTGTCTCATACAATCAGCCTACGCACGCAGTACTGGCCAATATTGCATCTACGACACCGCGAAAGGTTCTCCCTCTTCTCGCAGTCCAAAGCGTTACAAGTCATGTGCATATGATACGGCGGTCGGGCATGGTGAAAGCCATTCAGCATCGTGTCCATCGCGGGAGGAGTGAAGATTGCAACGACGTGCTACAGGTGTCCAGAAGGATGAGCCCCGTCGCGCATCGGGCGCGTGTCAACTGTATTGGGCGCTTGAGGTGGATTCGGTTCGGCGATCAGCGTATTTTCCCAGCGGCTGTTAGCCATCGACGTGATAGGCGCTAAACGGCTGCATCGCATTTGCAAGAGCGGCAAAGCTGGTCTTTGTCTATTCGGGGAGATGATGGTTGTTGACGACAACATGTGTGGCACAAGCTCAGAGACGCCGCGTCGGCGCGTCGGCGCGACGCCGGCCTCTATACGGCCGTAATGGTAGTGTAACACCACCACCGAACGGCCAGCCAACGAGATCCCTTTTTGATGTAGGTAAGTGTACTCAGACCTGCAGCACCCCATCCGGGCGATAGACAGGTCGAAGGATGCACTCTTACCCAGCGCCAGCGGCGGCGGCGTTGAATCGATGTCATGGTTTCGTGAGTTGAACGGGTGATGTCTGATCTCATAGTAGGCAAGGCTCTCTGTATTCGCAGTAACTAGATAAGACCCGACTAACAGTATACAACCACAAGACCCAAAAGAAAGGAAAGAGCTCGAGCTGAACGTACACTCTACATTCTACGTGGAACCGGGAGGACTGTCGGCACGTGAGCATTCTTACGCCTAAAAGGCGTAAAGAAAGGGACATACACAGGGGCAACCGAAGTAGCCGGGCCGGGGTCGGTCTTGAGCGTCGGGAACGCAGCGGTAGCACAAGCCTGCTCGATGTCCTTGTTGGAAAGTCCGGCGGGGAAGGTAGCCTGAGCGGTGAACGGCGGCGGCACGGGGATGACATCGGAACAGTCAACGAGGGAGTTGACGTTCTGGCCGAGGACGACGAGCTTAGCCATGGCAGCAGCGAATGTGCTCGTCATGTGCGTCTGCTGGTTCGCGTTGGCTTGCCAGAAGCAGTTTGTGCGCGAGTCGCGGGCGAAGAGATGGTCGGACTGGAGACGGATCTCGCCGCGAAGAGGCGACTGAACCTCACCCTCGTTCGGGCCGCTACCGGGGAACAGTGTGCCGCGAAGTTGAGTCTCGACGAAGAACTGCGTGTCGAAACGGTTCGGGGTCGAGTCGAAAGGCGTCCGGGGGATGGTGCCGTCAACTGAACACGATGAGCTTGATGATTGCCAGTGCGAGGAATGATGGCTGATACTGACCGTTGTCAGAAGCGCCAACCGAGTGCGCTGAGAGTAGTGCTACAACCTCAGCCGGGGAGAAGCTTCCGCCGTCCTCCATGCGAGCAAGGATCTGTGATTACATCGTGTGAGCGACGACAATCGCCAACAAACCCGGGCTAATCGCTTACCTTGCCAATGTCGTCGAATGGCAGAGGAACAGTGCCGTCTGGAGCCGGACGCGTACCGTCCTTGCGACCGAGAAGGAACTCAAGACGTGGGGCACCAGGGCAGTTCGAGATACCGACTGCACCGGCGAACTGGATGAAGTCGGCGGTCGAAATACCCGGGTGCTGCGAGATGAAGCGCTTCTCGAGGGCCACAATCTCGTCCGTGCCGCCATTAGCCGCGAACTGCGTTTCTATGTCGCCGAACAGCACGAAGGAACCGTCGGCGCCATCGCTGTAGAGATGAGTACAGGGAAGAGGGGAGGAAATCTGGAGGTGCTTACCCGAAGGACGAGTTGGTCTTCGAGATACCGATCGCGTCGTGGAAGGTCAGGCGGAGCGCCTCGTGCGCATTGTCACCGCACTCGTTGTCGAAGAGGTTCGCCTGAATGTCCTCGAGGACGGGGAAGAGAACACAGCATGCCTCGTTGGCCGTGACACCGCCGCCGGGGCAGGTCACGCGCTTTGTGACTGCGGCTGGAAAGAAGCGCGTCAACGAGCGCGTCAAGAGCGATGCGCAAGGGTTGCTTACCGCTGGCCGCAGTAGCGAGGGTGACGATGGAGAGAAGCTTAGCAAAGGCCATTGCAACTGAAGGAGGACCGGTGGAGATGAAGAACGGAGGAGGCCTGGCTTTCTTCGACCAGAGTGTCCAGAGTACTTATACGGTGCCTTCACCAAGCCAGGACCGAGATTGTACGAGCCTCGAGAAAGTCCACCGACGGAGTGCGGATTGTGTAGGACATGTTCATGGCGAGTTCGCAGCGCATACGCGGGCGAGGAGACCAATGAACGGTCGTGGATTCACATCATGATGGATGAAACCGTCTCTTTGTTCGCTAGTCTGCGTCTCTGCTGCACGGGCGGTTCCAGCCTCATGCCGCACACCGTGCCAGACGTGGCAGTATTTCTCGGCGGAGGCGTCCTGAAGACAGAGATTGGGATCCGTCATTGGTCGTTGCCGCGTACTCCACTCACGCCGAACGGTCGAACAGCGAGTGAATGGTAGTGCCGAAGAGAAGCCTCCAGAGCAGAATATGGTACCGTCTACCTGTTCCCTGCCTCTCGACCTCGAGGCGGTGCCAGGGCGGACTTCGAGCGGAGAGATGGCGTCGAAGCATCAGCTGACAAAACTTTGTCTCTGTACGTCCGCGACCATGAGAAGCGCCCAAGGTGTTGACGAGAACGGTGCGTCAATTCTTCTATTGGACGCGCACACGCAGTGGCTGCACTGCTTTGCCGGTTCCCGCCCGTTCGTAGTCACAGTGTTGTTTCGAAAGGGGTTGTCAAAGATGCTGATTCTATGAGACATGAAGATCGCCGCAGATCGTATAAGTATCTGGCGTAGCTTGTCAAGAACCGCATATTGGGACCTCGAACGCCGTCGGTTCGTACGGGGGCCCGGACTCTAAATATCTCTTGCTGGTGCCAGCGGTGCAAAAGTACTGAGCTCAGCATAAAGGCACACCAATGCGAGCCCTGCCGCACGAGCGAACAACGAATGAGGTCCAAGCGTGTAGTTCGTGTTGGCGTTGTTGTGAGGAGCGGTCCCACGCACGCCGAGCCACCTCAACTCGAGAAACGAGGCTTTCAGTGGAGAGCGCTGCACACACGCCTTCTTTGGACCCATCCAGACAGAGAGTAGCCCGCGTACCGAGCGGCATTTATTCCGCATCTGCCGTACATTTGATAGAGGGTGGCAAAAGCTGAAGCATGACCACGGGATGTCAGCCAGCGAGAAATGACGCACGCAAGACCGAGTACTGCACTCTTTCTGTCTGAGTAAGCCGTAACTCAGACTTATTCTGCGTAGTCGTAGGCACAGAAGATGAAAGATGCTCTGCTGCATTAGGTTGCATCGCCCGCTTGCTCATCAAGGTGCGAAGCAAGTTGCGAATCTGCATTTTTTTCTGATACCAAATCCGGAACGCGGACCGGAGTCTCGCTGCGCAGAAGACGCGGTCCAGTGATTTGCGCGGACAGATTCGACTGACCAGTGTGCGAGCAAAGCTTCAGTACCAATGACAATCAGATACATGGTACTAGTAGCGTAGGCTTTCATAGCCGTCGCAATCGGATGACATCATTTAGTCATACTACCACCAGCGACGCGGGTCTCTTCGTCAATCGATATTATGTTCCAAGCGCCTGTGAAGAAACTTCATCAGTGGGCTTGATCGACAACCCAGAGCCGAAAGCAATATTGACCTTAGGTCCCTGTTGGTGCGTCCATCCACCACAACAGCACGTCGGTAGCCCAGGAATCTTTCCACAACAGAACCTCTGTTTCGCGCCGGTGAGGAAGATCTCCTCCAATATCTGCGCAGGCAGCTTCTCCTCATTGACCCTCACGTCCTCAGAGAAGTGCTCGTTTTCAAATTGGAAGTGACGATAGAATGGCTTCCAGCCATCCGGTTCGCGCTGGTTCAGAGGCGCAAACTTGACGATAAGGACGTACGCCCCCATGCGGATGACCCCTGTAGCGCCCGACCGAGCCTTCAACTGACGAGCGTTGTGCTCACGTATCTCGAATATCTCCTTTGTCATGCGATGCGTCGGTGCCGGGACAGAGCCGTCAGGAACGATGCTCTTATGAACGAACTGACAACCCCCCATGACGAACTTGCGTTCGACCGGCAGCGAAGGGTCGTTCTTGTACAGAAGGATGACGTTGAGGAGGTACTCTTCCTCAGAGCCAGGCCCATCCATCATATAGTGTGCCAATGCAGCGTTTGTCAGGCTATCGTGGTGATACTCGCGCCACTGAGCGAACTCGCACCACGCGCGGTCGTTGCCGGAGGAGCGGATAGCGCTATCGCGGAGACGGCGCCAGGCTTTGCATTCCATTTTGTGACCGAGATTCCAGGCATTCATCTGACAGTCCTTCGACTGAGTACTATAATGAGCACGGAGATGTACAGGTACGAAGAAGTGACAGCAGACGCACACAATAGCGCGCGATATGACATCCCTTGCAGCGCTGTAGCTTCATGGGGTCATCCGGCCCCGAAGACCGGCGCATCTGCTTGCACAAGTCGCAATTGGGATGCGTATGCAGAGGAGGCGATGCGTCGTGGAAGGTGTTCAGGAGCGGGGTCATCGTGGCAGGAGCAGAGTTGCGTGCAGAGTGCGGCGTGAACGTGGGCGTCGAGCAGTTTGAAGAGGCGCCGATCGAGTGGCGCGTGAGGCGTGATGGGAACTCTGATGTGTTGTACGACTACCACTCGACGTGCGGTTGGGGTCGAAAACTTGTGCGACTATATATATGAACGCGCGCACATGCGCCTGGATGAGCCATTGCGCAAGAATTCAAGTGAATGAACAGGCGATGACTCAGAGGACTACGTATACTTCGTATAGAGTTCGGTCTCAAGCCATTCCTTGTGCACGCCGGGTCAAGCTACGAGAGGATGGTTCATTGGCCCATATGTATTGGTCTTCAGATGTACTTCTGGTGACGAATCTCAGTACCGAGCTCGTCTGGTGGCTGGAGAACGAACGCAAGCGCAGACGTTACGTTGGCCGATTCACTCCGCTCTCTCGGAACACGGCCCGGACCTGCAACGTGATCCCAACGCGGTCCGGTGATCTGCGCGCTTCGCTCAACCGCCGCGCGTCATCGCGTCTTGCTCCCGACCTCGATGACCTCGCTCTTTTCACGGTGCCAACGCGCGCGGCTCCAACATCTACCACGAAGGACTCGCGCGCTGTACTGAACTAACGAGCGTTTTGGTTCTTGGTCATCGACAAGCAGAGGCGAATCACCTGATACGGAAGTGAGCCAGCACCCGCCTTGTTGCCGCGTAAGTCCTGCTACATCCCTCTTTTCACTTGTAAGCGTTTTCAATCCCCTTTCCCTTTGACAGTGTGTATCTACCAAAGCACTCAAAGCATCTATTACAGGTATTATATAGTCTACATGAATTGCCAAGCGCACAGAAGAACGCTATTCCATGGAACCTCACAACCGAGCTCATACGAGTCCGTTAACGCGCCCAGAGCTCTCAACGCCTCATCAAGCACAGGACTACACTCGCCGTCAAGACCATACACACGCATGTCACCACCGTAGCCAGGACGTCACCGAGTCCAACAACCACCAGCACCGTACCAATCACTGCACAAGATACACTCAAGAGCGCAAACATCCCACTTCCATCTCTGTACTCGCAGAAGATGGCCGCTATGACGAGGATGCTCCCAACGGCACCGAGCACGGTGGCTGCGACGCATACGCGCGTCAGAGGTGGGCCTCCTCCGAGGGTGATCGCGGCTGCGATGATGCCTATATTCATGGCACCCGAGTACACGATCTATACATATATACCTGATGTAGCGACTCTAGATGTATGCGAGGAGGTATGGCGTACCAGTGCCATGAGACGCTCGCGATGATGTGAAGATGCGTCTATTGTGTCTGCAGCCGCGACGGGAACCGGGAGTTCTCCTAGATCAATATGATCAACATGCTATGCAATCATGTTCAATTGCCCATCGTACGCATGCGAGCGGCACTAAACAGCACGCGCAGCTCTACTCGAGCGGGTGGCGTGGGATCATCGTTGGGTACCCCAGTGGTACGAGAGTGGTCGTTCATATTGACGGGAGAGACACGGATATGCGGGGCGTTTTGTGAGATGGTACTGATAGTGGTGACTGCGTGTCAGGAGAGGGTGCTGAGGAGGTCGTATATCGCTTTCATGCGGGTCTATATGTATGGACTGATCGTACCCTCAGCGCTTTGATCTACGATCCCGCGGGTATCGAAGTCGTCGTTCATCTGGTGTTACTTTTGCCCGCTTTGGCCTTCGGAAAGCCACGGTAAGATCTTCTCTCCTATAACGATTACAACGTGAGACTTTAGAAGACTATGTTGCAACGTAAGTTCGGGTTGAAGCTCTCATGTGAGAGGGTCGACGCGTGCGAGTAAGGGGAAGCATAGAACGCGGGGTCCAAGCTCGCGCAAGTCTGTATAGGCGTCGCGGGTGGGTGAGTTGTCTGCACTACTCGAAGACGCGGAAGCCGGAGCAGCAGCCATCGCGGTAGAGTACAAAGAGATATGCGTTGAGCAGGCGAACAAGATGACCGGAGTGGGTGATGTGGACGGAAACGAGCTCTGGACTTGGATTGAGCAGCGGGCATCATAGCTGTCCCGATTGCATCTCAACCTCGCTCGTCAGCGGAACTTTCGGCCATGGCCGAGCGGAGCCCCAGATTCTGGATCGTGGGTTTGCTGGTTAGCCCTATACAGTGAGATGCACCGTCTAGATTCTCGCAGACAGCACCATCAGCCATCTCCTGGTACGTGCCGTCGCCATCGTGTGGGTCACTAGCTAGTTTTGCACCGCCCAGGTTATCGCAGGCGGCGCCATCAGCCATCTCCTGGTACGTGCCGTCGCCATCGTGTGGGTCACTAGCCAGTTTCGCACCGCCTAGATTATCGTAGGCGGCACCATCAGCCATCTCCTGGTACGCGCGGTCGCCATCGTGTGCGTCACTAGCCGGTTTCCAATCTGCCCCTACGAGACTCAGTGACCCTTGTATGACCTCCACATGCACATGCCTCGCACTAGTAGAGGCTTTGCTCGTGAACAGTACGCAAAACGGGCACCGCTACGCTGACTTGTACATATGATCATTGATCTCCAGACCTTTTCGCCTTTTTGCAATCATCGACGCATATGGGGATACCATCTCCGTCGAACTCAATGGTGCGCCTTCATCGCGGTTGTTTACCCTGCAGACTGCCCCCGATGGCAGGGGCACCTTAGGCGGACTTAGCCTGCTAAGTAGCGCGACGTCATCCAGCCGACGGCTTGTAACAAGCGGACCGCGAGGATCAGAGGCGTCTGACCGGCGCCTAACGACTGCTCTCCGTTCTTGACGCTGTGTCTCGCGGATGGTCAAAATGTTATGTCGTATTTGTGTTTTTGCTTCCGCCAGCCGGATGCCTTGCTCAGTCGTCTACAGTATGCACAATACCACACTCGAGTTGGTCCCGCGCATCAGAGGCTCACCCGTCATACAAGGTCGCCGGCGCCTACAGTGTACTGTATGGTTCGCTCGTGGGTGGGCACGAGGGCGTCTGTAAGGGTTTTGGGTCTGACCCCGGGTCAGCTGCGAAGGATACGTATCGAAGGGTGTGGCGCTGACCGGAAGGGCAGTGAATAGAGAGTATTCCCAACGCCGAAATCGAGCCTCTGCGAGGGTGAACTCTTCGAATGATGGCCATCAGGCAGCTTGTTGATCGCCGCGTCCTGCCGGGGTCGACTTGCTTGGTCTGCCCTGTGCCGCCCGCCTCGTCTTTCGTCACGAAAATTATATGCGCAGAGCCGCGCAAATATACGGAATACGATGGCGAGCCTCTGGGGCTGGCGGGTGGACGGGGTCGCGCGAATGAGGCGAACGGCGTGGCGAGCCCGATCGCTGTGGCGCCGTGGAGCAAATCACCTCTTCAAAGCTCTTCGCGAAGAGGGCCGAATTCGCGTTGGGAATACTCTCTAATGTGCGGGAGTGAGGACGCGCGCGCTGCGCGCCGCGCCACCCCGGGCTGGCCTCGGGGATCCTTCCCACGACCGAACCGCGCAACTGCGCGATGTCGATCTGCCCTATCGCGGACCTACGGTTCGTTTGCCTTGGTACTGTATAACTGCGCCTGCAACATTACTCTGTATCTACTGGAACTCTCTAGAATACTGTGGTCACTTACCCGGACTCTATATAAGGACTGAGAACACGGACTCCTTTTCCCTAGCACTCTTTCTTTGACATTTTATCTCATTAGATCGCAGTGGAGAATCCCCCCTCCAAACAACCTAGCTATCTTTCTCTTATCTTTCTATATCTTTCTCTGCGTCTATTGTACCGTTTATCGTGCAATATACGCCCTCACCAGGCACTTAACGCGAAGGTCTCGGACTGAACCCTCAAAACCCCAACATGTACACCGCGATGGGACTTTCGGCCCAGATCGCACCCGTTTCCATGCGGATTTGGATTGGCGCTTCGTACAGACTACATGGGCACGTGAAAGCCCTAATATTAATAATGGCAAGAGCTGGGCGTGGATTGACAATGTATGTTGACGAGGAGATCTCACTGCGAGAGCCCTTGGGGTAAGCGTGGTATCTGAAGTTGAACGAACGAAACTTGCGAGCTCGCTCTGGTGCTTCCCGTACGGCAGACGGGTACGATGGGAAAGTCGTGGTTGAACTTCGACGCGGTCCCCTGATTACCAGTAGGAAGCCAGATCGTGTTTGCCTCAAAGCTCGGTGAGCAGGAACGGTCTAATCTCGAGGAGTTTGCGCCCATCCCTAACCTAGCGCGCACCCTTGCTGACAAGCAAGAGCGATGAAGCCAATACTGGTACGTGTCCCTCGAGCCAGCTGGAGCCGATTCTGAACTGAGATCCTGGCGCCTAATGCCCGAGGCATGGCCGATATCTCTTCTCATACGGGCGCATACCGTACTATTTGCCGGTTAAATAGTAGCTCCCATCGCATCCACACCCCTTCTAACTAGGTACCTTCATGGCAGAGTCCCCCATAGGTATCCCGACTGCGACGAAGGGTATACGTTCGAGAGCGGGCCCGCGCGAGGTCCTTGGAATTGAAAAGCGCTGGCGGCCCGTTCGTCCAACCAAGAAGAGAGATATAGATAGCAGTATGCGGCGGCGCGAAGGAGGTGAAGCGGCGATGGGTTCACAGGCTGGTTTGCGGGGGGGTGGACGAGCAGGAGCGTCTGATGAAGCCAGTGACATCCGGACTGGCAGCAGTCTGAGAATTGTTTTGTTCGCCCGTCCACTCGAACGAGTCTCACTAGCTTACGACTGCATATTCGTTGTACAATGCCATGATTGAGTAGTTGACACGCGAGACATCGAGGTGGGAGGTGGGAGAACGCAAGCGCAGAAGTGAGCCGTTTTATTCGCTCGGAACACGGCCCGAACGCGCAACGCGGTCCGGTGATCTGCGCGCCTGCCCAACACGCGTCGACGCGTCTTGTCTCACACCACGACGCTCGATGCACCTCCGATCCTCACGATGCCGACCCTAACCACGCCCGCCTCCTTCACCGACACATTCACGCGCTTGATGCACACCCCGCCCTCCTCTCTCCCCTCCTCCTCAACATCTCAAGAAGAATCCGACCTCCTCCGCCAGATCCGCGCCGCGCTCGACCGCACAACCTCCGAGCCCACACCCGTGCACTCCTCCTCCACCATCCTCCCACCCACTTCCCCATCATCAAATGCAGGCCTGCACGAGACCCTCACCTGGTCCTCCACGCGCGTCGCGCTCTCCTACGGCGGCTCCGTCTCGCGCCAGTGGTCATTCGAGCGCGACGGGCAGCCCGTGCAGTGGGCCTGCCGCGCGTGGCTCGAGGGCGGCGTCACGCTCAGCGCTGATAGGCGCAAGAAGGATTACGGGGGGGATGGGGG